TTTGTTAAAATGATGATAGTAATAGTACTAGCCTCCTAGAATTATTGTGAGGTTTATATGAATTAGTAAGTACAAAATTCTTAGAAATGTGCTTAGAAGTGTGTCTAGCACATTTGCTGCTACTATTATTATTATTATTATTATTATTGGTATTTCAAACCTAACATGGCCAAAACTGTGCTTTACTCTACCATTCCCTAATTAAAACAAAAAAACCTTTCTGTACTTCTTATATATTCTATTTTAATAATTCCACCATTCACGTGACACCCAGTGAAGAGCTTTGGGAGCCTTGCAAATCTCCTAACCACTCCCTCACCTTCCAAGTAAGATCTGTCCCCAGATTGTGTCAATCAACCTTCCTAAAGACGCCCACATCTGCCTACCCTCCTCCATCCCCGCTGCCCAAGTCAGCAGCTCCCTCTGGGCCATTACAGTGCATTCTAACCCGACGGACTCCGCCTCCCTGTCTCCTTCAACTGTGACTCACCCTCCCACCTCCCAGAATGAAGCCTGTAAAAGGCAAATCTGATTATTATACCTGCAGCTTAAAACTCTTCCAAGGCCCCTGATAAAATAACAATGTTAGTGGAACATACGAAAGCCCATGACATGGCTCCTGAACGCTATGACCGCTGTCTCCCGTCCCTACCCAGTGTTTCTTGCCTCCCACCATTGCACATCCTATACAATTCTGTCTGCCTTGAATGTCCCCCTTCCTGTCCCCTTCCAATTCCCAGGCACCTGGAAATCTTACCCTTTAAGATCCGGCTCTAACATCCCTTCCTCTGGAAACTTTCCCTGACACCTTCCCCAAGGAGAGTGGGTTACGCCCTTCATTCTTACTCCATCTCTGTACAGAATGCTGTCCCAGCGCTCGTCATATTATGCGACGGCATTTTGCATCTCCATCTCCCTCCTTTTATTACTTACTGGCTCCTAGAGGACAGAAAGCGGGTCTTACTCATCTCTGCATGCCCAGTGCCTGGCAGTCATAGATGCTCAACACATACTGAATGAATGAATGAATGATGAATGAATGAATGAATGAAACCACAATACATAGCAACGTTTGCTATGTAGGAAATAAAAAAGAGGGGAAATTTACAACCCTAGAAGCTTGGGACAGTAGTA